GTGTGTATTATCCCATAGCACCAATGTACCAGCAGTAACCACAACAATTAGTGCCTCTAGCGGCTGAGCTATTTCCGACAGAGGGTTTGAGTGTGTGTGTGGGAGGGGGGGGGGTATATCTATAAATCGTAAACCTTTTCGCGGTGTTTCTAAGACATAATAAATATGGTGCTTTATGCTTCAAAATATATAGGCGACAAATGAGTTAATAATTAACTAACTGCAAACACCAGATCGATAGTTTGTAGGACATCAGAAATTCTTTTGTGATATGTCAGACTGAAATTCCAGTTAATCTTGTTATTGTTTAAAACGTCTGTGCAATTTCTCGGAATTGTTTGAATATGTCGTAGCTCGGCACTGTGGCCTTGAGACAGAAAACTTGTCAGGTCTGGGTCACGCCGCACTCACGCAAATGTTCTTAAAAATGATATGTGATACTGTAAAATACTTCATATTTTCGCTGAGGGAATGATTCAGTGCAAAAAAAATCCAGTGAATATACCTGTTTTCTTATATTTTACATTCAACTCGTCAAAAATCAGTGAAAATAAATTCTATGCAAAACACGCAATGTCTTTTCAGCGAAAATAAAGTAGTTTAAAGCACTTCAGTCGCACCATCCCGTGTTCGTATCTCGGGCGGACATTCGGGCATTTTTGTCGCCTGGCAACCATCACGGTGAAAACAAGAAAAACCGAAACTTTAAGAAAACTGTACTTGAGGAGTAGTTGAGTACCCTGAACAGTACAGTGTTACAAGATTATCCCTACACGTGCAACATATATAAATTTGGTTGCTCAGAATTCTCATGAAGTTGAGTTTGTTCTGATTTCTCGACTTTAGCTATTTTCACCGGCTCTCCGACCGTAGTCCCACAGCTGCTCGCACGGAGCCCATAGAAATACATGGTACAGTGGCGCGCGTCTTAGCAACGTGGTAGACGTCTTGTGACGTAGCTCCGTCCCGAGATGTAATACGCATTGTTTGTTTACAAGAAATTAGAACACGCACTGCTCACGGCGCCTCGGCGTTTTATAATATTAACGAATTAAAAAAAAAAAAAGGTGTGTGTCTACTGGCGACGCATGTAGAAATACTGCAATAACCTCGTCGCCACTCGTGGTCGCTAAATATAGTACACAATGAAAAAAAAACTTGGCCACTTGCCACATAATAATGAGTCAGTCCATGTGGAGGTGTGGGTGGACGAACTGAAAACGATTTGGATTGTTCCCCTGCACTAAAACCAATAAAGGTGATCTTCGCCCTCGGAGAGATGCGATCGTGTGCATATTTGATTAGTGTAATGAGTGGTTGATACTTTGCGTCAATGTCGAAAATTGAAATCCAGGGATCTATGGTACTCTCTTTACTGGAACTATTTAAAAGCAGACATGAAATAAATATTCCATGTTGTGGTAATTTATTGCTAAGTGTGCAAACTAATTGAGCTGATTACTTCAAAACACACCCACTTTATAATAGAAATCGTGTTTTTTCTGGTATTGATAACGGTTGCATAATCTAATAGCGGTTACATGCAATTAGTGTGCAAATTAAACTACTAATAAGATTATATTAGACAGACAGACAGACAGACAGACAGACAGACAGACAGACAGACAGACAGACAGACAGACAGACAGACACCAACACGACCTTACTTTTCGTTCGTGGTTTGCACACACGGGAACCAACAACCAGAGTTCTACTAGGTGAGACACCCCCGGGGGAGACCCAACGTGACCTAATATATAGACATATGACAGGCATGTGTTTATTATTTATTCCGTATTCCGCAATGAGCCTGAAATAGATATAATGACAATTTAAGTCTTTGTTACCTCTTGAAAAAAATCTAATCTAATGTAAAACTAACTATCACGTTTTCTAGGATCATAATTGCCACAGAGTCGCTATGATTCATACCCGTCTAATATGGGTATTCTTATTCACGTGACTCATAATATGACTGTTGGGAAAATCCATGTTTATCACACATGGGGTTTGCAGTGCATGCTGGTCCTGTTTATTACTTTCCTTTACCCTGGCATTCTATAAATAGCGTTACAGATGAGTTCTATTACCTCGAGGTGCACATGACGAATATGGGATCTGTAGTATCGTAGACTGAATAAACACGGATTAAGACGTCGCATTAAGGTCCGGTTTGGATTGTAGGGTTAGATACAGTTGCAAGACTGGGTGTAAATGCGTTCGGGCGATAGAAGGTCGCGCGTTAAATGTATAAATTGAAAGCTATTTTAACATTTTTGATAAATTATCCTTAATATGATTTATTCACTATGTGGTTTAGGAATGTGCCTGTTTCGTTTGTTAATGTTTTGTTCGTAGAAAAGTCATGCATATAGCGTCAACAATTAGTGTGCGGTAGCGTATAGTCGGTATAGAACTGGGTGAATGGCGTAGCAGAGGCGGCGGCACGACATTATGTATGAGGGTGCGAGATCTAAAATCTAGACACTCTGAAACGCTATTTCCTGTAATTTTAGAGCCAAATTTTGCTGACACAAAGCTTGATTTGGGGGAACGCTCCAAACATTTTTTTTGGGTGGGCGACCTCTGACCTCTGACCCCCCGGTTCCGCCGCCACTTCGTAGTCATTAAAGGGACATACGCTGCGTTTTTCCGGCAATGTGATTGCTATACCACCATGTGTTTACCCGTTTGAACCACAAATGTAAATTTTAGCTCAGTATTTCATGAATTTATAAATATGGAAAAAAATGGTGAAAAACGCTGCATGAATATTCGAAGAAAAGTTCGACCACGATCGATATTGGCGTTTCTCGTCACGTCTGACATTAAACGTCATCGACTTGGCGTGCCACACAGAAGTAGAGTAAACGAGTAGAGTGTACTTATTCCTTATTTGTTTTATACCCATCTGAGCTTGAGCCCACATAAGAACGTTGACGACATATGGCTAGTCATAATGTTATTTCTAGTGAACAAGTTGGCGATTTGCCAATTTTATAAAGTTACTATTGGTTTCCATCACAACGACATCTCAAAAACATGAGACGTGAGGTGGACAGTCATTATACTTTAAGATACTTTATTTTAGCTTGAATTAATTTTCGCTGAAAAAAAAACTTTTTTTGGGTGTTTTGTATGGATCATCCATCATCCCTTCAGCGAAAATAGCAAAAATAAAGTTTTGACATTAGATCATCTTTTTCAGTTCTCTTAAATACTTATATCACCGAGTTCTATGGCAATGTATGAAAAAAGTGATTGCTGCATAAGATTTGACTTTTCTGTTTTTGTAGTACACGACCAATGTTGTTCACCGCTAACTGGCATCAAAAATGAACAGCTGAACACTGATTCGGGATCATGTATCATGTCCTTATAATACACGTATAATACAATTAATTTTAATTAATTTTATTTAATGTATTTAATGTTATTTTTTTATTTTACTTCTTTTTTTCCCTTTTTTTTCTCTATACTTTATTGTACACTTTTGTCAAGATCCTAATAAGGATACGATTACAATAAAGATTATTATTATTATTATTATTATTATTACAAGTTCAAGTACATCCTAATGAATTGGCCGTGACGTACTAGGATGCAATAGATTGACCATACCCAATGAACTTGAACGAAGGGTTAGCGTCTTCCAGAGTAAATTTTTGATAAATATTTATAAATTATAACTGTGTATGAAATTCTATGTATATTAAACAACGTGGTAAAATTCATCGAAACGTATATACCGCGTGTTCAAATTATCATAATGTCCATCTTCGGATTGTGAACTGTGTTTACCTGTATGCAACGCTGATTGGAACAACAGGGCCAAGGACGAGTTGTCTGGGGGGGGGGGTCTGACCTATGTATGACCCCATATTAAAAACATCGATTGTAGGTCATTATGTATATGAGCAAAGCTTTTCTGGTGTCTTTGATATAAGTATTGGGATTTGTCATCTTTATAAATATACGCAACGCCGTTACAACCCACGCCTTGGCCACTGAACACACACGTGACTACACCCACTGTATTTATTTTTCAGTCTGTTAAAAAACACTCAATATTCTCGTAACTGCGTTTGTGAATCCATAGAACAATCAGATTCGTAGTAGTCAATCGCTGCGTATATTTCAACTTAGGATACGCGGCATGGTGCTAAAAGGGGCATCCCCTGATATTAAATATACATCCCGTGCCAGGCTATCTTTTTTTTATTTAACCGCACCCACTCGTTAAATTCATTACCATGGAGTTTTGCTAGTAAAAGTAAAAAAAAAAAGTAAATAAACATGAAAATCGCCTTTACGTTATATTTTCGCGTGGGGGTATGTCACTAATAAGTAGACCGCTATGGCGATGACTAACGTCTGAGACACGTCCTAGGCTATTAACGTTATTACATCATGACACCAGTGACCTAGCCTATTTTGTGCATGTCTGCGCTGGTGGGGTTGGTTTCCTAATCACAAAATGTCGTAGAAATCTTTGAACTTCGAAAAAGATTAATGTTGGTCTGTAAGTGTTTTTAAATCGTAAGAAATAAAATAGGCATGTGTTTATGTGGCACTGAAGTAATCTTTGAATGTCATACTAGGTATTAATGAAAACAACATCATTGTCTACATGTCTGCCGATTAAACTTGGAGTTCACCGGAAACAATGTCATTCTCTCTCTCTACTAAACGTAATGATATGCGTCGCTCTGACGTATTACTTAAAATAAAAGAATATGATTGGGGCCGCCCACATTTACATTTGCATGTTCGGGGGAATCCCCGTCTGAAAAGCAGTATCCACCAATCAGGGTGCCCTCTTCAGTCACGTGATAATTACAAAACTGGGAATTCCCTGTTGTTCCGGGAATACCCCAGCGTTGAACAAAAGTGTCCATCCAGCTGCTTGGAGATCCCCAATCGCTATTTTAGCAGAACATTTAAAGGCAACTATTCACGTCTGCCAGCTTTTTCTCATTTCTAACCGAATTCTGTCGTAGTGAACTCTCAGTCACTGGATCTCAGAAGAGTGATTGAATATTTGCGCTGACTGTTGCTGTTGGACGTAGATATTACAAGGTAATAGTACAACGCATATATCAACATATAAACCTGTTTTAACATCACCGGCAGCGAGCGACGCGTACACAATCACACATATATACACAAGTCGGTCCAAGTGGCGTTTAAATCGAAGGCGCCATGATGTTGAGACTGGGCGGGGTCTGCGAGTGTGTTGTTATCACACACGAACTAAACAAATCGATTCGATGGTAACGTCTTTATCGTCTTTAAAAAAAAAAATGATATGCGAAAAAAAAAATATTAGTTTTGATGATCCTTCTTGGCAACAAGTTCACATAATTGGTATTTATGATGGCCATAGTGCCCCGGGGAAAAAACAGTATTAGTAATACAAGAATGGAGATATGAAGGTATTAGTACCAACGTGTATTGTGATATGTAGGCTTTCACAGAATGCTATTTTGCCGATAATCTTATATCACGAAGTACAATGTATATAAATTGAGGCGAGTCCATAAGACTTTGGAACTTTTGTTTGCGGTGTCGGGCCCGTGTCTGTCTTGGCTGCTGGTTATTTCATTATTTATATTCCACCTATGATTTTAGTAGAAATAAAATTATGCTTATCAAACCATTAGAATGCTTCGGAGGTATTGTTAGTATTATTATTAATAATTATTTAATGAGGCCCTCCAACTTGAACATGGCAGTACTACCACAATGCATGTCAGTCACTACGTACACAACTGCCTGCCGTGTAAGACTACTGGTATCAAGTGAAGATTTGTGTTATCCTGGATCAACAGTTCTAAAATTTTTCGTTAGCGAGACATAGTTGAAAATATTATAAGTGTGTACATGGCCTAATTTGTCGTGCATCATTTTATTTTTTTAAAAATTTCTTGATTTTGAACCAAATAATTATAATTTTACACTGGCTATAGGTCTAGTTCAACATTTGGTGGGAAAATATAACAATAATTTTGTGAAATTTATTTGACGAAATTTGACTTTGGTAAAGAGGTAATGGCGATAACCTGATATCAACATGTACATGTATACGCACAGTCACCCCATTCACACATGTGATACGTATTGTTACCATATACTTCCTCTTTAACAGCACGTTTGCTATAAATTCACAGTTGTAAATATATCAGCACGCCATTGCCTATTTAGATGGCGATGATAACTGATTTTTGCATATTTGTTCTACCAGTTCCCTATTATATTATACCCGAATATATGGCCACGATTCACAAAGTTGGCCAATTGCCAAACATACAAACATACGGGATATTTGGGTCGACTTCAATGTATTTATTCAATAATAATTTGTTCGTTTCACCCAATAACAGTAGTCACCGCTTACTACAGTCGTACTATGTGAGTGATTGTAACAAACTTTCTTCTTCTTCTTCTAAAAAAAAAATCAATCCGCGTTGATTGATTATTTAAAGGGCGGCAGTCGTCGTGCCGCGTCCTGTTAGATATGGGACTCACAGCGACGTATACAACGCGTGTAAAATACATTATTTATTTACATGAAATTCGAACACGCGCTTCGCGACGACCACCACGCTTTAATATTCAGTAGTAAGTATATTGAATTCGAGAAGCGCAGAAACTGTGTTTCATATTAGTGCACGCTCGTTCAGTTGTGTTTACATCACGATACTCCACCGAGGCAGTACCACAGTGTGTGTGACTTGACCAAGTGTTAGTCAATGATGATTTAGAACACTACCACAAAACCCCTTCACCCCGACCCGATACTATAGCGTGTGATACACGTGAAAAGACGCCAAATCCCAACTCCAATAGACTCAGCCATATCTCCACGCTTAAAACAAACTAAAAGAAAATAATAATGCCGATTACATTTTACCCGCACTACAGGGTCGCTAATGGAAATAAATCGTTTCCCGGAAGTCCTGACTACCTGGGATTCACGTATTGATTTCAACTCGCCGGCTGTTGTTTTCTTTAATCATGAAAGAGCGTAGTCGAATTAAGCCGCTTCGTAAGCATCGGCTGTTTCCGGTGATATTCGGAGCTATTTATCATTAGCACCAGTTGCATCGTGCTGATAAAAAGTGACTCGGCGATATAGTGCGAATCAGTTTGTTTATAAAATTCTAATGTTTGACCTCAACTATTTGAGCGCCAATGTCAATTTTGTTTACTATTCACAAAATTTAATACCACAAAACTGATGAATTATGTTTATCAGTGCGGTCTAAAATTAACAAAGAAATTCAAGAAAAATACTAGCACCCAAATATATGTAATGCATCATTTTTTGGCGAGCAAAATTATGGGGTATAAGGTGTAATAAAGTACAATAATTTTATTTTATTTTATTTTATTCGTTCGTGTCTTACTTATTCTGGGGCGGAAACCCAGATGTGCTCGTGAAATGTTCAATCTTCTTACGATTACGTAACGTGGTCGTGAATGGCGATAACATAATTAAATAGTGTAATATTTCTTGTTAATTGTGGGGCGTGATCGGGAGAAACCTGCGAAGGAAACAACTACTAGAATTTTTAATAACTCAAAAAAAATGACGTCTATTGTACTGTGAATGTATGTGTAGTGAAATCAAAGCTATAGATCGACTGCACTCAAGTATTCGGAGACAATTTGTCTTAAACAGAAACTTGAAACACCTGTTTTCCAATAAGAAACCGCTATATTTGTTCTTGGAAATCATCGGATGGGTCAACTAAAGTCAGATAATAAATAGGCGTCAAAACTGTTTTCACTAAGTCCCATTGCTTGCTGTCATTGATGGTGTAGATACCGTTTTTGTTTTGTGTGGCTGTGTCGCGAGGAGTGTGTGTGGCTGTATCGCGAGGAGTGACTCGAGCGACGACTCGAACGAGGAGTACAGAATAGCGCCCCCACGGTAGATTATTTTTTCCGCGGTTATACACGATTTTAGAGACACGTGTAAGGTGTTGTCCCCTGTTATTTTTTAATTTAATTTTTTCATTCATTTTGACAAATCATGTCATGAATCAGCAATTTCAAAGAGCTTAGCCTACGCCTCTTCCAAAGCATATGGAATTACCAGAACCACACTTGAACTTGAACAAAGAAGGCTAGATGTTTGTTTATATGCGGGGACCTCTCCCGAAAAAAGTAGAAGTGGACCACCTTATACCAATTTCCATCCAGGCACAAATTTCAATGGATCAATTAAATTGTTTGGGGGAAGTGATTATGAGTACGTGTAAGAGTTTGTTTTTGCTGGAAATTAAAGGCTTTAACGCCATTGTTGTGGGGTTTTTTGGAGGGCTGGGTTGAGTGTCGTTTCAGAAAAGACACCTAGTTAAAGGCGCAACTCTAAGTACAATCTTAGGCTCACGTCGCTTTAATAGTGGGCTATATTGCATTGGAGATGTAGTTTGGACCGCTCGCATTAATAATACGTCGTTTAGTAAAAGGTGGCAGGCGTACATTTGGCGGTATATTGAAAACTACCAGAGCCAAAACCCTTCACAAGATCAGACGGACCCGTGTATGAAATCGACTTGTATGACTACATTCGCAGTATTTAGGCTGCATCAAACAGAAAAACTGACGAATTACTAAATCACTGGCTACTCGTATTTTCATGGATGCATCGTTATCTAACACTCATGGTCGGTTAGAGTGGCTCTCCACTTCGTAACTATAGAAACGAAAGCAGGGCTACTCACAAGTTGCCAGTATGCTTCAGTAATTTATTTGTCTCATTTGCTGTGACGTTCCCGCACGAGAATGGAAGAGGTAGATGGAAGTTAATTAAATTAAAATAATTGTGGTTTTGTAACCATTGTGGAATTAGAAATTAACTCGTGATTGACACCGTAACCAATTGAGTCACGTGTTTCTTTCAGGGCTTATGTTCATTGGTCAAAAACTATAACACTGGCAATACATATGACATGTAGATTTTACGGTGTCTGTTTGTATGCATTTCTAATGCTTCGAATGACCGCACATCATAGTTATTGTATACATAAATCATAAATTAACTCTAGCGGTGACGTGTGCTCATCGGTGACGCCACCGGAGTCGCGCGCCGTACGAAAACACGTGCCAACATAACTAATGGAAATCTACGCATACCTACTACTTTGTCCCCCATTGTTATATATAAAAATCATCGTTATCAAAATTCGCACCCAGTCTCATTTTATGTTCTATGAAACATGACGATTCTGGAATTAGCGCACTTTCTGTCTACAGTTCATTCATCCTATATTTCAATGTTAATGCAACTGGCTGAGTGGCGTGTTTCTGTGAATAACAGAATGAGGATGGAATTAAATTGTTTTGTTAAAATTATCGTGATATGCACACCTTTAGTGTTAGCGGATTTTCCGCGTCCGGAGACAGCTATATGTGTTGTACTATGCGTGAACTCAGTGTACTAAGATGCAGGCCGACCGGTGATGTTATCATGTAATGTTTTGTTCATTTATTTCCTTATAAAATTATCTAACTCGAAGGTGTTTCTCTATTTTCAGAAAGTGTAGTATATCCTTTAGTTTGCTTCTGAATTGTCCGAAATTTCAAACGGTTTGGGTGGGTGGCTGAGTGAGTGGGTTCTGGTGCGTTGGGGAATCGTCATTTCCGATTTTACCTTTTCAAAATTTATAAATAAAGTTTACAGACTTTTGTAGGTGGTTCGTGTGTTACGTATAAGTCACGTACATGAACAGTGGCACTTTAAAAACCCGTATATCTTTAGCGATGAACAGCGCAGTACACCGTAAAGGCAATTTAACGTGTTGAGAAAATTGTGTGGTTTATACATGAATTCGCCGGAATTGGCCACTTTGAGTGTGCGGGAGTGAGATCTGTTTTTGCTCCTTCAAGATACCGACCCTAAAACAGTCGGGGTCACTTCCCATGCAGCGTCTGCTTCCAAATTTGGCATTACACACACTAGAGGACGCTAGCGTCTGTCACGACTTCTTTCTGCACATGCGCAGTTGCACAGCGCGGATAATCGTATTAATCAAGAGTTTGAAACCATACACCGTGATGTTTGGGCGATAGGGGGCTACACTATTTAAGTTAAATAGTTTGAGAAAGTTTGACAGTGTATTCCCAGACAGTCAGTCGATTCACAGTGATGTCGCACGTTCCGTACCATGAGATGGACACGCATACCAAGTGTAATATGTATAACAACTACGCAGTACCTATGGATAAGTATTACTACTCATGCCAGCATCAACAACAACGGCAACAATATTATGAGCAATTCACCTATCCGCCGCTTCCTATGGTCAGCTTTAGCTTCTTTTTACATTAAGAAAAAAAAGCAATAACGCAAACTGTCGTGCAATTGACACTGTACCTTGTTTAGTAGTTTAATGGTTCTTAGGGGTAGTGTACAGTTCCGTATTTTGTTCTTTCTTTATTTATTTATTGTGTTGCGTGTCTGCTATTTTGCATATTTACAATGCGATTCCTTTTTTTCTCAAACCCTGGACAAATCTGTATGAACCTACAGTTCTGTAGATAACGATGACTCACGCACGACGGGCAGTACTTTAACTTCATGATGCAGTCGCAATAATCTCCCCCCTTCTCTGTCTTTCCTTACAGTACTCCTCACAGGCTAGCTACAACGGAGATCATTTCTTAAAACAACCGCCTTTCAGAATGCTATCTGAAATAACAACAGCTTCTACAAACCCGTCTGGACGGCAGCGAATGCGTCCCTGGCTTATTGACCAAATTAGCAGCGGGAATTACAGAGGACTGGCGTGGTTGAATGAAGAAAAAACAATGTTTAAAATTCCGTGGAAACATGCAGGAAAACAAGACTATGACAAGGAAGAGGACCCAAAAATTTTCAAGGTAAACCCCAATATATATATATATATATATATATGGATTGTTTATTTTCACGACAATGCATCTGAAATTAAATTTCACGAACGGTGAGTTAGGAATCGGTTTTTAATTTATTCACGACTACCACAATGATTTAATTATCTGAATAATGGAGCGTGGCAGCAGTTGTGTGAGTCGATTCGTGACACAAGGCGGATGAAGAGTTCACACATGGTTTACATTTACTTTTTCTAAGTTTACGGAGCTCGTTCATCAATACAAATATCACGACGGGGTGGAGAGCCAAGTGTGGGGGAAAGGATGGGGTAGAAGTAATGCTGGCGTCCTTTTCATGTAACTTTCTGAGAGTAAGTTAAACTGTATTGTGATAGCCGTGAATTGAAGCTGTCACGGGTAGTAAAGGCACGAAGACCAACGTTCAAGAATGACGCTGCCCGGAGATCAGATACGACTGTGTGTTATTGTGTCTCGTGATGCGGTATGACAATTTGTGTTCGCTGTCTGGCAGCGTGTTATTACGTTTCTCCAGCCATGCTAATACATGGTACGATTCCACGCGTCGCCGTCATTCAGCAACAGACATTTAATACCACCATCCTATTAAACAGGGTCACTATGATATTGATGCGTACGATACACAAACGCCATGAAATAACAACCGCCTGTGTTTCGTTTTGTGCGTAGGTAATCACTTTCATTGACAAAAAACCCACGGCAGTATTGGTATTGTGCGATTAATATGAATAAGCACGAGGTCATTATTCATCTAGCTTCCTTGGAAGTTGGATGTGCCCAAATGTGCCACCAATCTCCACGACCTCCTGAACCCAGCCGGCTTCAAGTCAGAACCCCGGACACGACACAGCAATAGCGTATATTTCAGTGTACTTGGGAATATTAAATTACGTTATATTGCATGAGTTACTCAAGTAGTCGTTGAAACTGATCCATGGGCAGCGGTACGAGTATACATATGTGGCTTGACATTATTTGACAGTTGGACTCGATGAATTACAAAATAATGTCGACATTCGACAAATATTAAAGTTTAAGTCATGTGCACATATTTGTTCACGCAAACTTCTTGATGTCAAACAATGGCCCGATTCAAACGAGCACTTCCTCTAAATCTCGATTTGCCAGTGGTGAAGAAGGTCTGGCCACCTGCCAATATATAGCGCCATCTCATCCCCGCTTACGTGCTTCGCGGCGAAAAAGGGATGTAATAATGCAAATGAAATTTATTTATTTATTCATTTAATATGCTACTCTAAAACATGATTGTATCGAGAAACGCCACTGTTGGAAAGTTAGTAGCAATTGAGACAGATGATGATACCATATTTGTGTGCTGACTTGTCATATGAGTCCTGTTACTGTTTAAGTTTTAGATGTACGCCCCTCCCCCGGCATTATACATAGGGTAGGGCTATTGGTCATGTTACGAACATCACTAAAATACAAACTTGCCGTACGAGGCATGCCATCCCGATCAAATGCGGTGTTTAAACAAAACCAACATTGATCATTCTCGACGGATTTGAATAATTGTTTTTCTGGATTAAAGTCAAGCCCTGTATTATATCCATGAACGTTTCAGTGTTACAAATGTTGGTAGATTTCCTTTTTCTCAATTTAAGTATTTAAATAAATATAAACATAATACTGGACTGTTGTCTTCATTGTCTGCAATATAAATGATGGCATGCGTTGTTATTGCTGTTGTCTGTCTCTCATAGGCTTGGTCGCTGCACACCGGCAAGTATCGGGAAGGTGTCGATGACCCTGATCCTGCCATGTGGAAAACGCGACTACGCACTGCTTTGAATAAACTGCCGGACATACAGGAAGTGCAAGAGAAGACGCAACTGGATATCCCGGAACCGTATAGAGTGTACCGACTGTTACCAAAGAAACGTAAGTTTGTAATTATAGGGGATCAGAGTTGTTGACGTCATTATATAACGTCACGGTGTTGCTGCCGTCCATGATACAGACTGAGTACAAGCATGGACGTGTTGAAAACAGATGCGCGTGAACATATTTCAGAAGATGTATGTGATTGAGAAATCGTCATAAATTACACAATTTACGCCATGTGTGTTCGTGAACACACTTACACAGGACTCTCGATCGCTATCTCAATGATAAGCGATTTAAGTCGAGGATTGCGGTCAATTCCTACTTAATGCTGTTGTTCTGCAGTTAAATGAATCTTTCGAAAATTGAAAATGATGGTACATGATATTTTCAAAAATAAAACCATCTGCTTGGGCTTGTTACTTCAGATACAAATGACGTTTCCAGCCGACCCTCCGTCGAAGGTGTTTTTTGTACTTATAAAAAGGGGAACGACTTTTTCAGAAATTAAAAGTAGAACGAATGGAGTAATTCATTTCAATGAGGTGTTTGTCCTTTCCTTCAAGCACTTCGTAAATCATATTCATCAAGGTTTTTACGGCGGAAGTGGCATGTGTCAAACTAATGAACGCTACTTCATTTGCGAATAGCGCCCTCGCGGCGGGGGATGGGTGTTCATCGTTCAACACAAAAAGGTCAAATCATAGTCTTCATTACAAATTTCCGGATATCCAATAATTTTCCCAAAGGCCGAATCTTCACTCCCGGAATTCAGAAGTCCATGATTACCCAATACATCGTATGCGTAGAGAGATAAACATCATCAATTTTCAATACTAACTTTTACATTTTGTTCTTACCCCTATGTCCATGAACACCAGTGTTTGGTCTGTAACGATCTTCCTGACTGTAAATCATTTTGTTTTTCAGAAACGCTTCGGGATGCCAAGGCCACGGTTAAACAGGTATGTACCATTCCATTTCTGGGAAGATCAACTTTCTTTTAAAATTGTTTATACGATTTAAAAGTAATATGGCACATACATCATTGGTGATACCGTTTATAAGGGTCAAGTTTTCCAGTGACGAATCTCTTCTCTGACGTCAGAATGACGTAGCTAGGGTATAGCAATGTAGTATTTTTCATTATTTAGAATTTAACACAGTTCTAGAAAACAGTATTTGTTATTGGCTATATATATATATATATTGATCTTAAAATCGTCTCTTACACCCACTTACAACTCATTTGGGTTTCTAAGAACCGTGGCAGTGTACATGTAATAACATGTTTACGGCCATACGATATGCGATGATATGTCGACATTGTGATTGCAAACGTTGAGTCTGTCGGTGAGGGCGCAGTTCCACGTCACCCATTTCGTAATTTTTTTTTTAAAGGAATGCTCCTATATTCCTGGACATAATCCTGCGTTATCCCTTCCAATGACCAACAGAAGTACAAGTACTGAAGGGTACTTCAATCTGGGTAAGTCTAGTACTCAAAACACTGACTAAAACGATAATAGCTCAGTTCAAAAACATGAATGTAAATGACTTTCAAGTTAGGGTTGCAGATAACTTGTTATCCTCGGGGGCGGAGCTACGTCACGGACGTTCTACGTTGCTAAGACGCGCACCACTGTACCACGTATTTCTATGGGGCTTTGTGCGCGCTGCTGTGGAACGCCGTGGAGCCGGTGAAAACTCGAGAAAACAACACAAACTCAACTTTGAAGTAATCCTGAACAACCAAATTCATATATGTTACACACGTAGGGCTAATCTTGTTACACTGTTCAGGGGACTCTCAACAACCATCGCAAAGTACCGTTTTCTGCGAGTTTTTGGTCTTTGTTTTCACCGCGAGGGTTGCCAGGCGGTAGAAAATGCCCGGATGTCCGCCCCTGAGGATAGAACATTGTCTGGATAACAACTGGTTTGAACTTTGTTCTATGACAGAAAAATAACGTTCACACACATTTTCATTTTATACATTGAGAAGGAAATGGTTAGAAAATAAAGATAAGATTAAAAGTCATTTTTGCGACACTAACCTTTCTTGGAGTATTCTGTGGAACTTGACGTGACATTAGAGAAAAAAAAAATGAATCCACTTATGAACATGAAAGTCATCATTAATGAATCAGACAACAACAATACCAACACTGACAACAACGATAGCAACAACAGGTGACTGTCGCAGATCCTTCTTGAGTGAATAGTAATTTATTTGTATTGAAAAAAAAAACACAGAATGATACATGTCAAATATAAACTGATTTGATCTTATTTGATTGGTTTCAGTTATCAGTCCCACATCTACAAGTTCTACTACTTTGAGTCTTCCACAAGCATTAGAAGACCTGGACGGAATTATTCAGAGTGATCTGGGGGCTGCGAGTGATTCACCAACGGCAACGACTAGATCAATGTCATGGTCAACGTCATCTCCGGGTATTTACACGTTATGAATATATGTTTAATACAAATGGATTTCCGATAATCTAAACTAATGATATCTCTCATGAACTTGTATAATCTATCTTTATATATATATATATATATATATATATATATATATATATATATATATATATATATATATATATATATATATATACTATTTTATCATCACTCTTTGAGAACGAATCCATTTTCTATGTCTGCTCGTACATATGTGTAAACTCTAGTTAAACTCCAGATGGCGCTGTCATACACGCAGTTTCATGGACAATTGTTACCTTTCTCACCTTACTTGGAGACTGTGGCTGAGCAAGGGCGCCCTCTCGGAGTTGAAGACCACACGACATTCCTTTTGTTTTTATTTACTTTAGTGGGGGACAGTCGGTGAATTGATCTTTGCTATTACTAACTATGCCCCTCTTTGTGTCACTAGATTCAACTCAGAACTTCGACTGTTGGGAAGAGAGTATCGACGACAACAATAACTCACCATCAAGCATAACAGCAAACTTTGGTACCCCGCAGAGAAATGCCTTCAAACGTCAACTCTGTGACAGTAACTATGACTATGGGATGATGATGGCAACACCAATCAAGAAAGTCAAACTGGAATCACACTATTCGCATTTTTCCAGTCCTGACTCGGATGGGAATGATTGTGACGACCGCTCGCTATATACGATGAACAACTGCAACCGAATGATAGGTCATCATGACCCACCAGGTACGTCATGTCGGTTGGTTACCATAGTAATTTCAGACATTCCACGTTGATATGTGTTTGATTTCCCACGTTTTGCACCATGCCCTTTATCAGCCTACATTCTCCATTCAACCGTCTCAACATTACGCAATTCATTCACCTGTTAGCTAGCACATGTAGGTGGCGCAGTCCAGCCCACATAAGCCCAAATAACTGTATAATAATACAGTAATCCTCGGGGGCGGAGCTACGTCACAGACGTTCTACGTTGCTAAGACGCGCACCACTGTACCACGTATTTCTATGGGCTTTGTGTGCGCTGCTGTGGAACCCCGGTGTTGCCGGTGAAAACTCGAGAAAATAACACAAACTCAACTTTGAAGTAATCCTGAACAACCAAATTCATATATGTTACACACGTAGAGCTAATCGTATTACACTGTTCAGGGACTCTCAACAACCATCGCAAAGTACCGTTTTCTGCGAGTTTTTGGTCTTTGTTTTCACCGCGAGGGTTGCCAGGCGGTAGAAAATGCCCGGAGTGCTGTGATCGGTACTGACGGAAATATCTTTGGTTATGTGGGACGTAACTGGACACATTGTGTTGGCAGCAAACCATTAACATGATGTTATTAGATGAAACAATAAAAACCGCCAGTACACACAATCTTTGATTTTTCTGTATAGATTACGATAACGAATTCCCCGCCGTGTTTATCAAAGTGCACCGTCTGCCAAATAAAATTATTTAAACATGGTGTTCTCGCCTTATTAAAAAACGGATTTTTGGAGAAGATGCTGATTAGAGCACCAAGCTTGACACACACCTTTGATAACGTTTTTTTTTCTCTTTTTTTGTTTGTTATAACTCACAGTGCATTATATGCAAGTGAAAATTAGCTACAGAGCTGTCACTGCGTGTGAGTATCGCGTTGTAGCCCCTGGCGGATTCCTGCTGACCAACAGTGGTAACAGCGATACACCTAACCAGAATACGCTCATTGATAACATAGTATTCCCTGACTGTACGAAGTGGAGCACGAGTCCCAAACAGACCCAGTTGACCTCGACTCTTCTCGGTCACGTCGAAGGAGGGTAAGTTCAATTTTTGTGGTAAAAGTTTGTCGTCTACTCTCACTTTGGCAGTTTTCTGAAGGCACTGTTATTATTTGACATGCTTGGCAATAGAAGTATTTTCGTTTAGTCATTCATATTTGATATTCGAATGAGTAATCAAAATGTTGGTCTTGAACGTTGCGTTTAATTGTACACAATTGCTTCTGAAACTAAAATAATGGGTATACAATATGATTTGACTTGAATATGTGATTAATTAACTATTGGGCTATCTTGAAAAGATTTCATGCGAATTTTCATTTTCATTGAATATTCAGAATTCTGGTCGAAAGCTGTGATGGAGACGTTTATGCTACTAGGAACTGTCGGACCGTATTCTTCTGGAACACCTCCGCCCCGTCCGAAGAACCACGACGCTTACCACGCAATGAACGAGTCAAGCTTTTTGACTATGGACAGTTCAAAAAGGAGATCAACATGCATCTACAGAACGGTGGTCCTAAACCGTCTTTGCCTCACATTTTCTTCGGCGTCGGGCAGAGATGGGATCTCCTCTGCCCATTGCGGAATAACCTCATTTCCGTCACCGTGACGCCACTGAAGGCACTCGAAGAACGAATGATCCTAAATGCTTCGTCGCTGGGGGTGATGATGCCTGTGCCACAACACCAGAGTCCTGAACATGATGTCCAAACCATGGACGATTTTGAACTCATGCCGGACAGTTCGGGTTCTAATGATTTGAATTCGTTTGAGATGGTAGTAGCTAAGGCCCTGCAGACGTGCAACGCATAGAACACAAAAAAGTCTCGGTTCAAAGCAGCTTGCCAATAATATGTTACTTGAGTGCGATGACACCGTACCTAAAACAACTTTCACAACCGTGAACGGGAAACTCTGGTCGCATATAAGTGTGTATCGGACTACTGCCAATATATATCTTCCTTTTTTAAAATAGACTTCATTTATTTTCATATGCTGATCATTGTGCTATTCACCACATAGTTACTGATATATATATATATATAACTTGAGTTGTACAAAGTGATAACATTTATGTTAAATTTTTTGTTTTGACTTCGTCTGTGGGCGGGTGTGAAACACTACATCGCCAAGATTATTGACACGACAGCGCCACCTGCGACATTTTAGAGGAACTTTATGATGACGTGCTAAAACGATCATTGGTTGGCTGGTTGGCCAGAGTTTTCAATACTTTGTTAAGCCTTCATTCAAAATGACTTAGAAAATGCGGCTTCTATAACCACAAACACTCCACCATAGTGGGAGTAATAAAAAAAAAGCGGAAAAAATGTTGCGTAAGTCGGATTCCTTCATTTGATATTTACCGACAAATATTATTTATACATACAGTATTTTCAAACTTGATGAAATTACGACTAGTAGAAAAGAAAGGACTAATTGTGGCTCAGTTAGAGTGTCGGTATCTTGTATTTATGTCATGATTGCCTACTCTAGCTCCTACAACGTTATATGTACTAATGGTCTGGCATCCACTTTGACACAACATTCTCCCGAGTAGTTCATCTCGGAAGAGTCAACTTGCTACTAGAATCTGTTGACAAATAAAAGATTTGGAAGTAGTAATTCCATTCGCTGGGTAAACCCGTCCGATTACTTTTAAATACCATAATTCATGTTGTGATTTTCGAAACAAAATTAATTAATGTTTAGTTGATTTCATTGAAAGATTAGTCGAACTTACTACGGTACACATGACATTGCGGAATCCGTATCCGTATTTTATTTGTTATCTCGGCACTATGTGGATTCATATGTGATCTTACGGCAAATGAAAGTGTGAGCAAAATCAATCAAACTTCAGACCGCAACTCAAGCGAATATATGTACACACATTATTATCTGAATAAATAAGATAAGACAATTTCTCTATATAATGCATAGTTTTAAAGTTATTGCATATCTTCTCAAAAACGATGTATACAACAAAGCAGTATAATGCATTCACTTGAGGATAGGTAGTGGTGGAAAGACTGATTTTTCTCACTTTTATTTTCGATAGAATTCAGAGATACGTGCCGAGATAGAACAAAATATCATCATACGTATACAACCTGCCATAGTTACACCAAATCATTCAAGTAAATAACTAAGATTAGAAGCGCGGTGGTCGTCGCGCAGCGCATGTTCGAATTTCATGTAAATAAACAATGTATTTTACACGCGCTGTGTACGTCGCTATGAGTCCCATATCGAACATGACGCGGCACGACGACTGCCGCCCTTTAAACTTGGCCTCTATAATTTGAACGAAATATCCTTAAGATAGACAAGTCCCCTTTAAATACCGGTTGACAAGTTAAAACACAACGTATAACTCATTTCGAATGTCATTAGATTTATCTTTACTGGAGATGGTCAGAGTAAATTGTACACAAACTTGAAAATTTCCAGTAGACAACTTAGTATTTTCAAAATAGAATTTGTATTTGTTTTTGTTATTTCCATAGTTGAATATTTGAATTTATACTTCTTCAGAAATAAATGAATGTTTCTCCTAATTAGTAATCTTGTTATGATATTTGTTATAAGGCCTGTTCTCGGTCTGGTCAGTGATTCAAAATAATTTAGCAGTCACACCTGTTTTCATACGTGTATTTTTTGTGTACGTGTCAATGTTCTGTGTGTCGTTGCCCCGTAGTAAATTCTGTATAGTAGCATTCAATTTGTCTACATCCTTTCACATCGGCCATATCGAGTCACTGGATAGGAATGTCCGAGATTGTTGCTTTCATTTTAGGTGCCCAAGTCTACAAAAGTGCGCCCTCACACTGACCCTTGACTTGTTTATTGAGAGCCTGCAGGCTTACGTCGCTGACTGGGGGTCACCCGAGGACGACTTAATCATCTTACCACTATACTAGACATGCTAGACATCGTCCAAGGAATGTATCGGAAAGGTGAGTGATTTCATTTCAAATGAAAACACCTGGCAACTCTTACACACTCTGGTCGCCGTTGAATGTTAGCGACTGACATGGCAATATGTAATTTCAGAGGCATGTGGAGGTGCAATGCGCTTGCCAGTCGGAATCGGTGTGTGCGTGTGTGATCCGTCGACACTTTTAAAAAACACACATTCTGTATGTGTGGGCAGTCTCATTCATAATGCCTTTCACTCGCGATACACTCGTAGTTTCGATTTCATTTTCGCTATAGTAAACGTCTTGAACTTGTGACAGTTGTTGCCTGATACGCGCGATTTCGAAGGGTCCGAATGTATCGCTGTGCTACGCGCAAATTAGTTTGTCGTCTGAAACGTTTCGAAACCGGGAGTACTGAGAGCAAGTCAAGGCTATCGCTTTCAAGTTTCAGTCTCTCGCCTTGAAAACATCCTGTTTGTACCTCGTGATAGCGCTGTATCTAGGCCATGTTCTAACTTTTGCTACCCCCATTTGCGGATCTATTCTTTTGTACCCAACTTTTATAACCGCCTCGTGTCGGATCGGGTGATTTTTGGTGAGTAAAGTTCAATTGACTGTGTGTGACAGGTTTGAGTTTGTAAAGTAAACGATACCAAAACATAAGTGCGTCACCCGCCTTTATTGTGCATAATCTCTTCCATGCGGAAATAAGTAAGCTAACTTTTTTGTTTTTGCGGAAGCGAGCGCTGTTCAGGAAACAAAATATTTCCGAAACTTCTTCCCTTTTTTTTTATTTTCCAATGTTAAATTTTATTCACGCACACAATCTTGTCGCGTTAGCCGCTACTCATACTTCGAGTACTAGTACCGTATGCAGCTTATCTATTTGGAAAGATCTCTACTGACGTGGACTGTCAATCGTCGTGCGTTCCCTTGACGGGTTCTCTGATGCAATATTACCTTTTGACAGATATCCATATTATGTCAATGCCCGACCCTTTTGCGTTTGTTTTTAGTGATTTTTTTTTTACGGTTGCTAGCCTACCAATGCTTAGTTGACAAGTTACCGTAGATAAATTTGGACAGGTCACCATATCTAAGGTTGGTATCAATTTGCCATCTGTAAGGTACATAATATTAGTTCGTGTTGTAATCATAGACTGGAACATTCTAGAACAGACTCCATCTCACCATTAGTTTACCTCTTCTCTAGCAACCGGAGTCCTGATTTTTCTTCATTACACTTTTGAGTTCCTAGGTCTAACAATATTTTTTGAGGGGCAGAGATGATTCCTGTTTTCTAAAAATAAACTCTTCTTGTTATTAAACTGAATCCATCGAAAATCTAGAAATTCACGTTGATGATCTATTTGACTATTCAGGCACAATGACTACGGAAGACGTGGACAGTGTTCAGTCAACACATCACCGCCAACGACTGCGACCATGGATTGTAGAACAGATTCATAGCGGAAAATATAAAGGATTGGAATGGACTAATGATCAGAAGACTGAATTTAAAATTCCATGGAAACATGCTGCAAAAAATGATTACGATCAAGAGGAAGACTCCAAAATATTTAAAGTAGGTCCAATTTCAGGCGGGTCCTTTTCATCTACTATCAGTGAATATTTATGGTGATTCTTAACTGTTTAAAATTCGAAATTGGTACAAGTTGTTATTACAGGATAGACCCAGCTTGGTGGACCCTATCAAATCATTAAATTTAACTGATGTCAAATACAGTGTGTTCTAACATGATCACACATGAGTTCGTGGGAACGATCATGGATGTTCGGGTTTCAGCGAAACCATTCTATTGGACGTTGGTCACATGAACATATAAACCAATTGATTTTTTTATTGTACGTGATATAAGAGTAGGGCACACAGCACTGCACTCTTAATTAGGAACTTTTATACAATTCGTGTTTAGTGTTTTTAAGGGACATTGAGATTAATACAGTGCATGTAATATTAATTGAGGAACACATTGGCTAGTATTTTTCTTGCCAAATTTTGCTTAGATATTATGCCATACTATTATTTGTTTTAAAACTCACGTTATATTCTATTAGGGACAATGAGATTAATACAGTACATGTAATATTATTTAAGGAACATGAATATTAATAATTAATAAATGTACTCATGATGACTTTAATTGGTGTTCTTGCCCATTTGTTGTCAGAATTGTTCACACTTAAATTTTTAGGATATATTATTTCATTATTTCAGAAACAGTAACTCTCATTTTTTCCATGCTGACAAAAGATTGTGCATCGTTAGTTTGTATCTACCCATCCATTTGTTTTTATCTCTGGTCCTGACTTTGTCAAGCGAAGCTCATCCGTCAGTGTTCACATCAACTTTTTACTTTGTTGACTTCTGTTTGAAAACTACAAGTCTGATTGCTTTGATACTTGGTGTATATGTACCTCAGGTGAACCTCTCTCAGATTTGTTCATTTCGTGATGATATCTTCAATTCTCTAATTTAGATGTATATGTTTGGTAAAAAAGTGATATTTTTGACTTCTTCAAGAAAATCGCAAGTCTAATTGCTTTGATATTTTACATTTAGGTATCTGCCTCAGATTTGACCAGTGTGATTTAGATTCTCAATGGACAAGGTTGTAATAGTTACGCTATGTTCTTTCAAGGTTGTGTATGACTTTTAGTGTATATGGTATTTCTAGGGGCTTTCCCTTTTGACTTATTGACTTAAATGAAAATCTTATAAATGTATAAAGAGTTTTCTTTTCTTCTTCCCAGTGACTTTCCTTTTCTTGTATTCTGGGAATTCTCAAATAGTTTTCTTTGAATATCACATCGATGAGAAAGTGGAATCATGAGATGTCAATACCATGGGACACTCCTAAATATCAC